TCTGTTTACTCATATAGTAGATGTTTGAGTGTATAGAGTTTTAGCTTATACATAGAGGATTAAATCAACGGTTCTTATAAGTATAATGTTTTTTGTTTACAATCTAAGATGAAAATTGGACAAATATCGGCATGATTGAAACATAAGATTATATATAATTTATCTTAATTGTGGAGACAATGTTGTTCCAACTTCTTGAACTAGTGCATTTTGTATGTATTGAACGAGACCGAGTAGAGATAGATGTTTTAGACTGATTGGTAAAAACATAATTTCTAAACTATCAAATGTACTTATATTCTCAATCTTAATATAACTATTATGAGTTGTATACGTTAATTATCGTTTTGATTCATTAAAATGTGAGATTCGCAGATGAGTCAATATGTCTGGTAGATTGGATGATAATCGTATATATTGGTGAAATAACAAGTTAGCTGATTGGATCCATGTCTCGATATAGAGATTGATGATATGCCTTTTTGAGAAGCTTGTAAGTTTCCATTGTGTCGCACCTTGCAAGTAGATTTATGAATATGAAACATGAAATAAGTTGAGCAGTGCTCTAAAAGAAATTAATCATTGAATTAAATTCGTCAGTATTAATTTTTTTACTGATTAGTAACTGTAATATTAACATGAGGAATTACATAAGCGTTTAATAGGGAATTTCAACATATAAATAGAGGAGTGCAATTATAAATTTTCTACCGGAATGATTTACAATTTATTATGTAAGAATAATTCAAATTAATTTTTGAAATTATTTCCATAGTAGGAAGACTCAATAATTATTTTGTGGTCCTTACTGTATCCATATTTAATTAAAACTCAGAATCCTATATCTTAAGTAAAAAGGAGGAAAACAATGTGTCTTTTCTTATTCAAGAAATGAACGCGCGTTGGTTTTGATTCTCTCTTTTAGACTGGAAGAAATCTCTATAGTAGGGATTCTTCTAACTCAGAGAAGGAATAGGTTTTCTATATGATACTTACCCCCAAGTATTAAGAGAGTTCGGCTGTGAACTTGGAATTATCGTAGAAGACTGCAGTCTAACTTGTGGATTCGCTTGAAGGTGATGCTCACGCTTTAAGAGGTATTCATCGAATTGAATTTTAGTAAGTTTATGTGTTCAAGCATGATCATATGTGTTCTAGCATAAACGTATGTGTTTTAAATTATTCATGTAAGCAACATGATTCTGTTATACTTCGTTGTACATATGTTTTCCAATAAGTGATACTCATAAAAGTGGTTGAGCTGATACAACCATGTATCCTATTAAAAAGGCTAGAGATCGATTCTCTTTGCCAACATCTTTTCAATAAAGTACACTTATCTCACTAAGTACAAATTATATATATTGTATGATTTACAAGCTATGACACAAAAACAGATTTATTACTAATATTTATTTGAAGAATAATAACTGAAAATTCCCTCAGTTCCCTCATTTGTGTTATCGCATTGTTACCTCATTTCTGAATTCCAATTATGTCCTTACTTTTCAATATCTACAACACTCCCAATATCTTTACAATTTTTTAGCTGATTTAAATCAACATGAGTTGCTTGTGTATATCTTGATTTATTATTCATTTTCATCAAATGTCATGGCGTGAAAAGAAAAAATAAATAAAGTGATTTAGTGTGACAGTCTAAGAGAAATATAAAAATGGCGTTGAAATTGCGAAAACATGGGAATGATCTTCTCTATTATTAGGGATAATTTCAGAGACCTCCCTCCAGGTTTAGCTCTACAACACTCACCTTCCATGTGGTTTACAATATTATGTCTACCTCCCTTATTTTCATTTTTTTGTAACCATTCTTTAAATCTATTTAAAATAAATATAAATTAATTTAGATTTGACATTTTTACCCTTCTATATATTAATTTCTTCATATTAATAAATATTATATAAAAAAAATAACTCATTTAACAAATACTTTAAAAAGTAAATAATCACAAATAAATTTTCTTAAGAATTAAAAGTCCTCTTCTCTTCAAACTTCCATTTGCAGGGAAGATGGCTGACTCTTGTGAAGAAGAATGGAGAAAAATTGAACAAGACTGATAAAGTGGAAGAAGAGAAGATGACTTTTAATTCTTAAGAAAATTTATTTTAAAAGTATTTGTCAAATGATCTATTTTTTTTATATAATATTTATTAATATGAAGAAATTAATAAATAGAAGGGTAAAATTGTTAAATCTAAATTAATTTGTATTTATTTTAAATAGATTTAAAGAATGGTTACAAGAAAATGAAAATAACGGAGGTAGACGTAATATTGTAAATCACAGGGAAGGTGAGTGCTATAGAGTGAAACCTGGAGGGAGGTCTTTGAAATTATCCCTAATTATTAATTACTTTTTAATAATAAATAGTACTGTAGTAGAAGTAGCTAAGCCACGTGTATAAATAAATATGAGAGGTTATGACATTTTCTTTGGTATTTTTATAAAGACTTATTATTTTTTTGTTAATTAATCTATTAATTTATTCTTAACTAAATAATATTTTTAAAATCTAAGATAAATTATTTTTAATCATAAAAGCATGGATCATTTTGTTAATAATTTTTCAAGATTTCTTTTATTTGTTTTGACATTGTATATGTTTCTTTTTTTTCCCCATAAAAATGGATTTAATTCTTATATTTTTACGTGAAGTTGAACAACGAAATCGATTTCGAAAATTCATAAATTCCACAATTTGGTTTATATTTACTTTTAAAGATAATTTTAAAACGTTAACTAAAATATACATCAAAGGATCTATATTTTTTTTAAAAAAATAAAAATAAAATTGGAGTAGGGAAAATGAGAAGGGGATTACAATGTGTAGCATAAAAAACTATCGTGAATACTAGTAATTAGGATCTAAAGTAATATAATTTATGTAGTTTGCTCAAATTTATATCATAGGACAATTTATACTTGCCCAACATACTAAACAATCCCTCGTAAAGTTGTGAGATGACCCTATTCTGACCCTTTTTCATGTTCTCTTTGATTTATCACCTTTAAACATAAAAAAATGTCTTTAAAGTTTTTGCCAAATTCCTATTGTAGATGCACCCATACTCTTGCATGACGGTTAGAAAACAAATACCATAAATCACTTTAACTTTGCAATATAAAAAAGAAATACAGATAATTGAAACAATTTCAAAAAATCTAATTTTAATTATATAAAATAAAGTAATACAGAAATTTAATGTGATATAAAAAATTATAGCCTATCAAAAAACCGAATTAATAACACCCTAATTTCACCAGAAAATTGTGGACATGGATATACAATTTTTTCAGTTTTTGCCAAACCTACGATAGTAGGTGCAACGCCAACTTAAGGTAGGTACGCCAAAATGGTAGTGTTGCATTCTATTTGAGTACGCCAAAATGATACTATGCGGTTGTTTTATTTAAATTAAATTATTCTAGAATTATATCTACCCTTTATATGAACTAGATCAGATAATATCATAATTATTGGGGTTGTTCATGGTTATGGTTAAAAAATCAAACCGCAATCCAATTAAAAAAATTGATATTTGGTTTAATTTGGTTTTAAATTTTGAAAACCAATACTATTTGGTTTGGTTTTGGTTTTACTAAAAAACAACTGCAAAAATAATCAAACCGAACCGGCAAATTAGATATATAAATTTTATAATTATTTATATATTATTCATAAATAAAATATAAATATTTTGTTAAATTTTAAGTAACTTAAGTCTTTAACTTTACCATTTTCTCAAGCCCAACTATTACAATCCTAAGTCCAAATTCATCAAAATTTATTACTTTAGTCTTTACCTACCAAATCTTTCATAATATAGTCACAATTTCTCTTAATTGAATCACTTTGCTCGTGTAATGATAACTCTAGTATTGCTTAATTGAACCAACAATAACTTTTCTATGGATTGTTCATGGATTACTGTATTAGGTGTTTGTGTCTATCAAGATACGTATGTCCTCAAAAATTTATTACTTTCAAACCGAAAAAATCAGGAAAACTGAACCAAACCGTCAATAACCAAACCAACAATTATTTTTTTCGTTTGGATTGGTTTGGTTTTAGAAATTTTAAAAATTGACTAGACTAATTTGGTTTTGATTTTAATCAATAATCGATCCAAATCGAACCACGAACACCCCTGATAATTATAATACAAAATATGTGCCAATTTTTAATAATACTCTCAATGAAAAATAAATATGGGTTAATACTCAATATCGCAATTATTGAACTAATTAACTGAGCACAATATTTTTTTAAAAATAAAAAATAACTGAACACAATATCTTTAGGAAATGATTTTAATATTTTTTTTTGCTACACAGATCATTTTTAGAGATTGACAAGGGCATCATCGTGATAAAACCACATAGATACATGAAAAGAGGCCTAATCCATAAATTTGCCCCTACTCTTAAATATAAAATTGAACTAACACATTCATATCACGTAGCATCATACATGATAATTTTATGTTCTACATTGCATCCTACGTGTATCATGTTACGTAGGACATATATGTTTACTTATTCAAATTATACAAATTTAAGTGTGTATAGTAGTTGTACACACCTAAAATTTAAGAGCAAAAAATCAGTTGAAGTCAAGTTAAATGACACATTTATGTATTATCCCCATAAAAAAAAGAGAACAACTTTTTAAGGGCCGTTTGGTAGAACGTAGTAGAGAAAATAATATTGATTTTTTTTAACTTAATAGTGTTTTTAATTTATGTTTAACGTATTTGATACTATGATTTTTTGTACTTATCAAATCATGATATTAGTAATATAAAAGCTATTAATACAAAAATAAACATGATTAAAGATAAAATTATCATTAAAATTCCTCAAAATATACAAAGTTAAAAGAATATAAAAAGTATTTTTAAAAGTAAATAATACCATAGGGTTAGTTGTCCAAACATTATTGTTCGATACAATTTATGCATCAACCATCCAACTAAATAAAACCTATAAGAAGGGGGTCACTAAAAATAATCCTATTCTTTCTCACTGTTTAGGCACACTCATTGTGCTCTCCGCCACTTCTCTATTTGCATTCTTTCAGATCTATTCCTCTCTCTTTCTTTCTTTTGCATCCATCAATGGCTTCTATTACAGGCTCATCAGCTACCGCCATGTCCTGCTCCTTCAAGGTAAATCAGGTTATATCTTTCGATCAGTTTCTCCGATCCTTCACTCTTTTGATGTTATGATTTTCTCGATTTCGTTTTCGGAACTCTTCGTTTTGTGCATCTGATATTCAATTTCTGGAGTACTTTTTGTTGGAATTTGATGGTCTTTGAATGATTTTTGTGAATAAGGCATGTTGATTTTACATGAGTTTTAAGTTTTGTATAATGAGATTTGAAATCATGAAAATAAGATATGTTGCTTACTGCTAGTAGGGGTGTTCATGGTTTGGTGAAAAAATAAAAGCTAACCGCAAACCAAACCAAACCAAACCTATTTAAAAAATGGACATTTTGTTTGTTTTTAAACTTAAAAATCAATAATATTTAGTTTGGTTTTGTTTTTTTAATTAAAAAACAATCAATAAAAAACCAAACTGATGAATTATATACATAGATTTTATAATTATAAAAAACCAAACCGAACATTTTCATAAATAATTATAAATGTTTTATACCTTTTACTGATTAATTTGATTTGTCTACCCTTCAATGGCTTGGGATCTAAAGTTGGGTTGAAGTGTGTGACCTCATCTAAAAGCTTAAGTGGTTAAAGAGAGCACACTTTATTAGTTAATAATATTGTCAACACGCCCTTCACTTGCGGGCCTTAATATTTTTCATGGGCCAAATACGTGATTTTTTTTTTAATTTGGGTGGCGGTGAGATTCAATCTCAGGTGGTATAACGTTGAAGTGTGTGACCATCTCATTTAAAAACTTAAGCTGTCATAGAGAACACACTTTTATTAGTTAATGATATTCTCAATAGGATATTATTTTTGTATATTGTCTCTACAGATGCAATTTAAACATGCTAAAGGTTTGGAATAATGTTGAAAAATAATAGAAGATTTGGATGTATTCATTTTGTGATAGTAGAGAGAAACTTATTGATTCATAATGTTCATTTGAAACAATTGTCTTGTGTCTCGGTTACTTTACTATTATCAATTTATCATGAGCTAGTTGTAAATCGAAAAACCGAACCAAACCAATGTTTTCTATTTGGTTTGGTTTTAGATATTTAAAAATAGATTAAATTGGTTTGATTTTGGATTTAATCAAAAACCGATCCATGAACATCCCTACATACTGCAACATGTAAAGACTAGTTGATGGTGTAAATATTGTTGTATCTATAATTAAGCTCTACAATAGATTTTCACTGTCAATTTGTTTGTTTCTTGAAGTTACTTGTCCTATTGTTTCTCTCGGGATTTTTAATTCTATGGCTGATGAAAATTGAAAGGATGAGGAACCAAAATTCTCATGTAATTTTATTTTGAGGAAGTAATCAATGAAACACAAAAAATGTTTAACTCTTTGCCATATATTAAGTCCGTCATTCCAGGTAAATATTTGAGCTTCTAAAAGAGTAGAGAACCAGTTTCCCACTCTCCCCCTAATCTGTGTCAGGGAAATAATTAAACATTTTGTTCTCTTGTTTATGCAGGAACTTAACCGTGTCTCGAATTTGAAGACATCTTCTCTTTCATTCAAGGGGATTAGCTACTCTTCCATCAGAGTGAATCCAGCCACTCGTCGCCTCAGTATTACTTGTGCGGTATTGTCTTGTAACCGAGTGTTCTCTTTTTTGTGCAAATGTGTTTTCTAGTTGACCTCTAACCATAATTGTTGTGATTCATTGCAATACGGCCTGTTTTGCTATGAGCAAAACTGATACTGTATTTTATTTTAAGCACCAACAATTAGTGGTTAAATTTGTGAATTAGATACTAAGTTATCTTAAGTTGCTTTGTGGAGATCACTAATTAATCAGTAAGTAGCTATTATAAATTTATAGAATGAGTAAATTAAAATAAAGTGGATACCACCCGACTTAGTATCTTATCATGGTAGGTTTCCTTATTCCTGGTAGTATCTTAGCTGTGGCTTTGTTTTGATCGTTTGTTTCTTACTCTTCTACTGATAAATGCACAAACAGAGGAATTCGTTTTAGGGAAAAAAGGGAATAATTAAAGAGATAGTTTGTTGTGACAAACCATATTTCATTCTGGAAATTCTCTTTTAAAATTATTTTATTTCTAAATTAATAAAGGAAAAGGAACTTTCTTTCTAAAACATAAGCAAACTGACCAGGATCCTTCCCTCATCAATACTGTGCAGCCATCCTCCATTTGTTCATTTTTGCTACTTGCCCACTTTTCCCTTGGGCAATAAATTTTTAACAGAAACCTAAGAAAAGCAATAAAAGGAACAAATGTAAAATTGAGAGAAGGATATTAGTTGCTCCTGATAGGGGGTGTGCTTCTAGCGATTAAGGGAAGAAAGGCTTTGTTAAACAAAAACTTAACAGGACTTTTTGTGATATTTCAGATCTCAGGGTGCATTTAGTGTAATTGAATTTTCTATTGCCCAAGAAAAAGCAGGAAATTCTGCTTAGCTGATCTACAGCATTTGTGCACATTTTATGTTCACGTCTCTTAAATCAAACTATTTTCATCAGTACTGACACTATATTTATTGAGACTGTTTTGTGATTAACCTCTTCATCCTAAAGATTATCTTTTTTTTTTCTCACTTTCCTGTTCTACATGTGACATGGAATTTTGTGGTCTGTAATTCAAAATATAGCTTTTTTTTCTTTTTCATATGCAAGTTATTAAAAATAATGAGAGTTGTATCTCTGCAGGCTAAGCCAGAGACTGTCAACAAAGTGTGTGACATTGTGAAGAAACAACTGGCTCTTTCTGCTGGTACTGAAGTCTGTGGAGATTCAAAGTTTGCTGCGCTTGGTGCTGATTCTCTTGATACGGTATGTAGTTTGGCACTAAGGCAATTTGTTGCAATGCATTGTAGTCTTTTCCGCAAAAATGGTTAGAACAATAAACTAATTTCAGTTTGGGCTTCAGCCAAATTAGTTACAAGGCTTGGTTGATGTCGTTATGTCTAATGTAGCATTTTGTTTCCCTGTATATGGTTTAGAGGAATTCAAATTGATTACAAGGGATAAAAAGTAGTGAATCGCCGCAAGGTGCTAGATCTATAGGCTTGTCCTTCCTCCATATGATATAGTTTCATACATTACTGTGATTAAAAACAAGTATGACGATATTTAAACACTGTTTCTGGAGTTCTTGGACAAAAGGAGTATCCTTAATTACCAATTCAAAAAAAAAAAGGAGCATCCTTGATATCCCTAGTGATGTGTTGACCTTTACGCTTAGCATATTGGCACGGCTATTTAATTGTTATAAGCCATGTTGAATGTACCAATCTAGTGAGTTCTCCCCCAAGAAAATAATACTAATAATCTTTAAGGGATAGCACTAACAGCAGAAATGTTCTCTTGTTGCTCTTCCTGTAACTATGCCTCAATGGCCCTTCCCTTGGGGCATGACACTCGATTATATATCTGAACACATTTATTTATGACTGCAGAAGTTAACGGACATAGTTTTCATGTTATTATGCAATGTATAATCTGTAATTTTTGTCAATACAAGTTCACTGATTTGGCTAAATCATTTATGTTGAATTTTCTTTCGTGTTCAGGTGGAGATTGTCATGGGACTTGAGGAAGAGTTTGGCATCTCCGTGGAAGAAGACAGTGCTCACAGTATTGCAACAGTTCAAGATGCTGCAGACCTGATTGAGGATCTCATTTCAAAGAAAGCTTGAGACTGAACTAAACTTTAGAACCTCAGCTAGTTTGCTTATTAGGGTTATCTCGTTTGGTTGTGTTTTACAGTTGAAGATGATGCAGTTTGCAATATTGAACTTTGTCTAATTAAAGAACTCTGTTTCATCAGAGAGGAAGCCTCGTGAGCTGTCTTGTTTTCGCCGAATCCTGCAATTAAATCTAAAGATATACATGTATATCTATTTTGGCTATTCCTTTATGCTACTGAGCTTTGGCGCATGAAATCCACACCATGTTGATATACAAATCTCAAAAGATCCGTGTTGAAATAAAAATAAAAATTTCATACCAATAAGACGGCCTACAAATGAAGAGCTTTGTTCACATATAAAGTTTTAATCTTTTCCTAGGCTAAAACTAAGCACAGTGATGTTGAGGTCAGGTAATCTTTGTTGGGGAAGGCGAAAACATTTGGAAGGATTTCGTAGTAAAAAAATTTTGAACTCAAAGTTCTGACCACGTGATTAGCCTGATAAAAGTTCACTGTCTCGAAAGAATCCATTACGTATCTTATCACTAATTAAGAGTTTCTTCCATGTATTGAGGAAGATACACTACAATATAGATAGAGGCCAGTTGGGGAGGGAGGCAACGAGATTTGTATGTATCTCAGATACTAGGTATATGTATCTTAGATACATGTAAGAGTGGTGAGCAAGAGACCAGTGAGATTGGGGAGGGAGGCAACGAGATTAATTGTATGTATCTCAGATACTAGGTATATTATATATCTTAAATACATGGCGAGCAAGAGGCCAGTGAGATTGGGGAGGGACGTAGGGAGATTAGTATGTATCCTAGATACTAGGTATGTGTATCTTAGATACATGCGAGAGTGCCGAGCAAGAATTATTATGTATCCCAAATACATGCAAAAATCCAATTGAATACAATGTATTATCTTTAGCAAATTTGACCTCAAACACATGTATATGAGAACGTATCTGGACGCACAGAAATATGATAAGTTACGTACTAGAGTGTTTTGTATCACTATAACTTCCCCTTGCTATTTGGCCCTTAAAAATTGAAATTATGATGCAAAAAATTGAACTTACAGCCGGCGGACAAAAGTGCAAATGAGGCTAAAGGAAGTGTATTTGTTCCTTTAGGATCATTGCACCCCTGTTCACTTTCTGGCGTGTAATTCTTCTTAGTTCATAGCTCAATGGAATGAGAAATATTCAAATTAGTAGTCTTTGACTTGTGTGTCCATTCTTGAATTGCAGAAATTAGGGCGGTGGTGTAAAGGGACGAAAATGAAATTCTTGGATTGGTACCTCAAAATTGCGGTTGGCTAGGCTGTTATTCATCATCAAAACTGATTTTTGTATCACTACTATCCTTTTTTCTCTCTCTTTTTCTTTCACTTAATTTCCTATACATTTTCATCTGGTTTTGATTTAGATTTCATCAAGTAAATCCAGCTCAATTAGAACCTATGCATGCGTTGTTATCCACTTTGAATCAGATGATAAGGTAACTGTAGATCGAAGAGAGCTTGGGAGAGTTCTCCTGAAGCTAAAGCTGTCAGAGAAGCTCTCAATCCATTTGCTAGTTGAAACTGTTTGGTGATCCTTTTGTGGCGGTTAATAAAGAAATAATGTTCCTTCTTAGTTTTAAGGCGAAATGGTTTGATAGACCCTGTACTTGTATATGAGTTTGTATTATGGACCCTTGTATTAACTCTTTACCAATTGAACCCATTGAAACCTAGTATTCAAATAAACAAAGTACTATATTATCAGAGCTCAGGTCAATAGAGTTCCCCTCTTGACATCTTCTGTTTAATTTAATCTATTGCTTCAGTCTTATCATTTATCTGCTTCTGTCTCATGCATAAGCTCCCACTCTAGCCCACCATTCCTCCGAACTCTAGTCTGTTCGAGTTTGCCATTTTTCTGCTTGAATAGTATTATATATGTAGTGATAATATATGGATATTACGAACTACATATATTGACAAACAATACTTGTACGATCTGTTGCTTAACCTCCAGGACTTGAATTTGGACACTGCAAGAAAGTGACTTGGATAGCACAACTGATTGCTGTTTCGACTTTCAACGTTTTGTTTTCCTGCGCGCCAACCGCCCGCCCCTTTCATGTTTACAAAGTGACGACTTGATGGATGGTTTTCGTAGTAATTTGAACTCTTGAACATGGAAACATTTTGCATTGCATGAGAAACTATTGTGAAAGTAAAAGCCAGTGTCTGATCTGACATGACCAAGCTTTATCAGTTTTATAAATGTATGCAATTAGTATATTGATAATCATGTAAGATCTGTCTGTTTTAAGTCCCTTATTTCTGTTGCTTCTGGGAAAAAAACTAAGATTCTAGCAATAAAGATATAATGAATTAATAGATTTTGACAATCATGTAGCATCTCTGTTTTAATTGTCATTTCAGTTACTACTGCTTGTTTCTTATGCTTTGGTTATCACACATTATTGTGTTGTTATGTGCTTCTTCTAGTATTGGTTGTCTTCCTTCCGTGTATTATTTGATATGGGTTACTTCAACATATAATATCCTAGATATATGTCAATCACACTAGATTTTTTGCTAGTGTTATTGAAACAACACCATTGTTTGCCATATTTGATTTGAAAATCTTCTCATTTTCTTGATGTTATAGAATTTTAAGTTTGAAAGATCAAAAAAAGAAAAAAAAAGCCCTTGGTCCTTCTAGAGTTGGATTGGGTTGAGCATTTTCAGGCCTTTCGATATGAAAGGCCTGTCCGCCCTAGCTCATCAAATTTCTTGGCCCGCAATGCCTTGACCGGATCAGGGGCGGCTCTACAGCTTTGCAAAAAAAGCAATTGCCTTAGGCCCCAAAATTTAAGGGGCCTCATTTTAAAAAATAAATAAATAGGTTATAAGTATTTTTTTAAAAAAATATCGAGTATTATTTGTAGAAAATAAAAACTTTTTATAAAAGAGCAAAGAAGTAATAGAAATTTAACAAATTATGAATACTATGTCTCAAGAAAGATCAAATAGTTGACTATAATAAACTTCATAAAAAATATATATTCAAATTTAAGGCCTCTATTCGGATTTGGCTTTAGGTCACCGATTTATTAGAGCCGCCCCTGGACCGGATTAGGCTGGACCGACCCTTTTTGACAACTCTACTACTAGGTAACAGCATCCTCATATATAACTTAAAACTCATTTATTTTTTCTATATATTCTTGTCCAATAAAAAATATGTTTCTTGGGTCAACGATTAATTAATACAAAGAAATTAAATTATCATGCATAATTCAATGAACTATATATGATTAAGAAGCACATGAATATCAAAACTATTCAGTTATCTACATGTATCAATTTTTTATTTGCTATGTATATAAAATCGTGCAAAGAAGTAGCTAATATAAAAAGAAGATAGAAATAATCATCCTATAAATATAGTTGAAAGAAGCCTATTCAAACACCAACAATAACATATTAATTTTTGAGTTAGTATATAGTATACATTAATTGGGTAGCTCTTTGTGTATAGAAAGAAATTGAAGGGTAAAAAATGAAGCCAATTATTTGTGTTCTATTTATTAGTGTAATGTGTTTGGGGATTTGCAATGCAGATAATAAAAAGCTGAAGATGAATTATTATCACAAAAGTTGCCCTTCAGTTGAAAAGATTGTTAAGGAAATAACATGGAGCAAAGTTGCTGCTGATCCAACCTTGGCTGCAAAGCTACTTCGACTTCACTATCATGACTGTTTTGTTAGGGTAAGTATCTTCCTTCTCCTATCGATATATATTCAGTGACAAAATTAGGATTTTACCAAAGGGTTCAAAATATGAAAAGTGACATACAAAAGAAGTTCAAGGGGTTATATATACCTAAAAAATATTTTTAATCAGGTATAAATAATATTAATTTTTTGTCTAAGGGGGTTCGAATCTGATATCTATATTGGGGTTTGATTAGTCATTTATCCTACTTAGGAAGTATTAAATTGTTTCCTATAAAAAATATTACTATCATTTTCATGATTCAAATACAAAGTCTTTGATTAAGAATGAAGACTATACTTACCACTCCATAACATTTTTCGCTGATCTTTTCTGTTAACTCTATCGAGACCTTCTCCGAGAGTTAATTATTATATATACATCACGTATTTGAAAGCAAAGTTTAACTTCTATACTATAACCATTTGCGATATATATTACACCATAAAAACATCTTAAAGATAACAATATGTGCTTTATGGTTTCGTCCATAATAAGTGTAACGAGTTACTTGAAAAATATATAACATGTTAAATTACATTGATTAATGCACATACGTAATAGATTATACATTGAAAATATTATTGTAGGGATGTGATGCATCAATTCTACTAGACGCGACTCCAACTAATAGTGGAGAAAAAACAGCAATACCAAATAAATCTGTAGGAGGTTACGAGGTTATCGATGATATAAAGAAGAAAGTAGAACAAGTTTACCCAAATCAAGTTTCTTGTGCTGATATTCTAACATTGGCAGCTCGAGATGTTGTTTCATACCAAGTAAGCACCTACATATATACAATTCACAATTTTAACATTATGTGTTTGAATTTATCATAACTCATTCGATTTATTAAGTTCAAAATATATTATTTATATTTGATTTAATGAATTTTTAACAAATATATACCAAGTTTGAGCCAACAATGTTAGGCTCGGAGTTCGGATGAATCCATAACTAAAGCACTACATTTAGGAGTATTGGCTACATGTTCGGCCTAAATATGTGCATATTATTAGCTTGGAATTTCAGTAACTAAAAAAATTAAAATTTAAAACTCATAAATTTCAAGTCTTAAGATTTCGCCTCTATTAATAAATAGGCAAAGAAGTAAAAGGTGAGCATTGACGTACTCTCTCGAATTATATATTGGTGTTTGATAAGTGTAAGAAATTACAAAAAAAAAACTTTTAACACAAGAAAAGTACTTTAGCAATTATATTAAATACGTAGAAATAAAGAAAGAGTGCCGTATAAAATAGAAAAAACAGAGTACTAATTAAAGTTTACTATATTGTTAATAATAGTTTGGGAGATCAATGTGGCAAGTTCCAACAGGGAGGAAAGATGGAAGGGTATCGATTGCATCGGAAGCATTAGACAGTTTGCCTTCTGCTTCTGCAAACTTTTCCACTCTTTTGGGACAATTTCAAGACAACAACTTGGACATTGTTGATTTGATCACTTTGTCAGGTTAGTAACTAATTTAAATTATTCTCTCCAATTAATTACACTAACATGCATGGTTTCTTTAAGGAAAGAAAAGTAGTATCATTTTGTAGTAATACTTGCTGACACAAAATTTAAGAAAATAAATGAATGTTTTAATTTTGTTCGTTAAATATATAAAAATATCAAGATTTTTCTTTTAAGTGAGTGGTGGTGAAAGTTTCATGTGTGTTTTCATTTAAATATAGTGAGGGTCTCAAAGGGTCGTTTGGTAGCTAGATAAAAATAAGATATTCATGTATTAATTTTCGTATGACTTATACAACGCTTGATAGGTAGATTGGAAATAAGTTATTCATGTATTAATTTTTGTATGACTTATACGACGCTTGATAGGTAGATTGGAAATAAGTTATTCATGTATAAAATTAAGGAAAAACTACATAATTAGACAAAAATTCCTATCATATTTACTAATTCTCCTTATAGTTTGATATAATTACATATTTTCTCACTAATTAATAATTTCATACGAGATTTCAAGTCAAATACACCTAGATACATGTATTTTTGCTACCAGATACACTAAAATAAGCATAGATCAGGCGAGTGAGATAGTATATGTATCCCAGATACATGTGAATCACACTAGATACATGTATCTGGGATACCAGATACAGGGATGGAGGCGAGCGAGAGAGTTAGATACATGTGAATCCACTTGAATACAATGTATATCCGAACGTATCTGAACACACCTAATTTTGATCTCAAATATCTGAACGCAGCAGATACATGTAACCGAAGTCCAAAATCTGATAAATTTTGTAATATTGCAAACTAGCGCGAATTTAAGTAATTAGCTCTTAAATTAGTGAGATTTCTGTAAGTTACCCTAAAATTAATATGACGTTTGGTTTACAATTTAGAAACCCGTAACTAATACATATTTAAGTTATGAGAGAATCTATGTTTATTTTATGTAGGATAGAAGGCGGAATAACTACTACATGAGTAACTTATCTCTTGGATAAAATTAAATATAAATTAACTCATAACTAAAAATATCTGCATAACTCTAACGAGCTAACAAACAACCCCGACTAATGATGAATTAATTATGATATGCAGGGGCACATACAATAGGAGTAACACATTGCACATTGGTTGCTAGAAGACTTTATAATTTCACAGGAAAGGGTGATGTTGATCCTTCATTGAATCCCAAGTATGCTACAACTTTGAGGAAATTATGTCCTAACCCTATTAATAGAGCAACTATTCTAGAAATGGATCCCAAAAGTTCTCTCTCTTTTGATAGCCATTATTTTGAGGCTCTGAATCAACATATGGGCTTACTTGGATCAGATGCTGCGTTAATGACCAACTCCCTTTCTGCTCTGATTGTAAGAAAGATGCAAAATCCACATGTTTTCTTAGCATTTTTTGGTCGTTCAATGAAGAAAATGGGAGAAATTAGAGTCCTCGCGGGTGGTGAAGGAGAAATAAGGAAGAACTGTAGAGTCGTAAATGCCTAAATCTTGTTTTATGTTTGAATTATGTATACATATGTTTAAAAAAATGTATACATATAATAAGATCATATTCATTCTGAATCATCTAATTTGAGCGTGGAACTGTAGCTCTGTTGATCAGTGTGATATGATCAACTTCTGAGATTATATTGTAATTTCAAAAAGTTTGTTAGTGTTTTGCATTTAGTTCATTACGTTTCCGTGACATAAAATCAAAAATAGTCCTGCACTGCATTTCCTGCCGTGCTATTAGCATTTAGCAATAAGGCAAGGCTTTTCTGGTTCATATCAACTCAATACTTTTGACGTGGAACATAAATTTATGTGTAAAAATATATTAAAATTGCAACAAATAGTAGGTTCAGACCCATAAGATTAAAATACAATGAGAAATCTTTAAGGTTGAACCCATAGAGCTTAAATCATGAATCCGCGCCTAGAAATGAATCTCCATTTTGTGGATGACCACTTAGGATTTGATCCAATTCATAAACAAAAGGTACGATCAAAATCATATAATGTTCACGTTCTGGTTCTGTTATCGGCTTCTCTTTTTATACAAATAATAAATCCGATGATCAAACAAACAGAAGGAAAATCAAACATACTTGATCCTATTAACATTGGTATGCAATTCATTGTTGCGCAAAAGGTGTTCTTCCCATTTTCCTCCATCCTTTTATTTCTCCTAAAATCAAACAAAATACAAAAGCTCGTATTTTCTATTATCAATGTTTGTCAATCCAAATCATGATATAAATATCTTAGTCCTAGCTATCATATTATATTAAATTTTTTGTTTCTTGCAAGCTTGCACCTGTATGTGGAAGCAGATCAAAACAGAATATGCAATGTGATGCACAAACGTCAATAAGCCAAGCAGGCGAAAAGGAAAAGAGGAAGTTGAAGAAAACTTGTTTTGGATTGAGAACATACAATACAAACAACTAAACCAAAGTACTGTCACTGTCTCGACTCTGGACACTAATTTAGTGGGAGAGAGAAGCATACTGATTTAACATGCTTTGCAGCTCTTCCTACAATATCCTGGAAGGCCTGCACTTCCCAACATATACTCTGGATTCTTGGTGCATTCGCCAAGAGCAGCCCATCTCTCACAATTCTCATCAGCATTGGTGCAATTTCCATCGATACCCACAGTTTTGTCAAAGGAATCCACATGAATCCACTTTGTTGCTGACCATTTCTCACCTTGAAGTACAGGGCACCCACCATGGAGGCTAATAGGATCAGGAGTGGCATTTGGATGGAGACTATAGAAAAGCAGGGCATCTCCTTTCCGTGGCTTCACTGATAAATTCCAAGAATACGAAAAAGCAGAGAAAGATGCACAATAAGTTTTAGCAAATACAACTATGCAACAATTCTGAGAGATTTTGAAATCGTATAGATTACCTGCTATGCCCTTCTTTGCACATTCAGACAAACTGTCATCCGCTGCCATTGACCTACGTCGATGAGATTCCTGTAGAAAGTTCCAATAATTGTTGAGTAAAGAATGTGTAGTAACAAATTTAAAAACAAAGAAGAAGAAGAAGCCAAGAGCAGACTGTATATAAATTTTGTGAAGCTAAATTGCAAATGCCATCTCATCAGTACCATTCAATTTATAGTGAGAAGAACAAAGAGACTTCTCTACTAAACAAACTAGAGAATCAAGCCAAACATATCCAAGCAAAAAACGCGACATTTTCCAAGCTCAGACCACTGCTTTAATAGTATAGCTCGCTGCAACGTAATAAGCCATAACGGAAGTTGGAAGCAGAAGTTCAGCATTTTATAATGGACCTCCATGCTTTTTTTCAGTTTTCTGATGTGCACACATGAGCCCTTCAATTGTGACACTATAAAGCTCTTGGTTCCCAAAATTATCTTGGTTTGGTATTCAGCATATTTTTACCCTCCAGTATTTAATCTTCCAAAATTTCAATAACACTACTTCAAAATTAATATATTACATTTAAACCCACCACATAAATAAAAGAATGCAGCTATTGTAAAGGTAGGCTAACAATGGGCACCTTAAAAGATAAATGCGCTCCTCATAACACAATAAGCAAAATGCATAATGTAATTGAAGCAGAAAAATGGAATCAACAGTAGATAAAACCTAAACTAACCTCTGCTTTTGGGAAGACAGTCTCACCTCCCTTTTCAACATCTGTGAGATACATAAGTACAGTGGCAAACCTGTGTCCACCTCGAGCAATATTAACATTGTCTACAAAGTAATCATAGTGCGGCTCATATTTCTGCCCCTCCTCATATCGTAGTACTTGTATTTCTTCTCCATTTTCTGTAAATAAGAAATAACTATCACGTACTTGGGGTAACTTAATGTTGTCTCTCCATATATTTCTAACCAGCAGATACAGTGACAAACTTAATGGATAGAACAAAGAATGAGTGTCAAAAAAGTTGTTCATAATTTAATTCAAGGAGAATATTCTTGAAATATAGGTAATTAATAACTTAAGTCTTTGAGTAGTTGAAAAGTTAACAGTTTTTAGACTTTTAGTATAGCAGATATAGCATATCAGGTTTTTTTGAATAAAAATATATCCATTGTAAACCAATAAACAGTGAACAGAACAAATAATATTTTAAACCAAATCGATTTCATCTCTTTTAGTAGGTTGCACTCTTTAATCGACACCAAATTGTGTCATTCTCAGTCTTAAAGCTTAGTGAAACTCAACATCTGCAAAACCTATTACAGTTTGACTTGTCAAATGATATATAGTATAAAAGAAGGAATTATCATTTAATGTACATACAACTATAAACATTTTACTGAAGTGAGTTAATTTTGTACATGACAAGACTGATAGGTGACATATTACAGAGAATCTTGAATATGCAACTAACTATTGATGAGTTCAGACAAAATTCACATAGAAGTATCGTTTAGGGGATGCCACACCTTTGGGTAGAAAGGTCCAAGTTGCTATCTTATCCTCTATCCCTGAGACAATAGGATCCTGTGGCATGAGAAAAGATTTCACAAAATCAAAGATGCGGAAGTTATCAAGTATGAAGCAGTGAGTTTGTCTTTAAAACAAGTGATATCATCTGAAGCCTGTAATAAGTCATATGCTAATCATTAAAGGGAGCAATCATCAATTATCAGATTAAAACAACAATAACTATGTTGGAGATGGGCGGGTATGGAAAAGTGGATCAATGAGAAGGATTGATGCCAACTGAATCCGTATCATTCAACATTAGTAAAAGATGTGAATGATGTGATACATAACGGAACCTCATCTTGTTCTGCAGATGTTTAAGGTACTTTGCATCCCAAAAAGAAAACGCGGACACACAACATAATTTGTTTTCTTCGAATACAGAGATGAGAAAACTAACATATGCAACCACTGTTAATAGTCAAAGATCAAAAACCATTATCGCAGGATCATGTAAGTGATAGAAAATGCTAAATCAAAGCTCAAAAACTGAAGATCCAGAAAATTGCAAAGACTAGCATGTGCACATTGAAAAATATGAGTTGCATAATCACAGCATTTAAAGATAAAATAGTAAAGTGGCAAAATTATACATAAAACCAACCTTAGCTTTGGAAATGAACATTCCAGAGCTGGTCCTAACCTCACTGTGCTTACTCTTTCCAGACTCATTATCTGCCACAGCAGATCTCTTCAACTCCGATTTCGCCTACAATACAATCCCCAAATTCAAAAAATCCACACACAAAAACTTTAATCTCCTACCAAAAAAAATTAAAAAGAGAAAATGAGAACTCACGAGTGATATCAAGTGATTGCATTCTTCATCCGTAAGAAATCCTTCATATACAAAAGCTCTGTAAACAGTCGAAAATCAATCCATTAAAAAACAACAAACAGGGAATTAAGAAGTAGTAGAAGCAAAAATACCTAGGTTTCCATGAAATTTGCTTGGACTTAGATGGATTGATGATCGCTGAGCTGGATGATTCGTGTATGAACGCTATGATGAAGATGAGGAAGAAGAAACTCGCCAGCTGAGAAGAGTTATTCATGAATTCACACTAGCAAAAATGCACTACAACAAAATTTGTGAGATCAATTTTGCTCTCTAATTGTAAATCTAAATTCAGTTGACTTGAAGCAGTAAACTGACACAAGATACCCAAGGGACTGTAACAAAGGTGACAAATGTGGTGCTTGCGGTTGAATTTGGGAAAAAGGTTAAGGGTGTGTTTGGTATGAAGGAAAATGTTTTCCTAGAAAATGTTTTCTTGGAAAAACAAGTTGATTTTTGACTTATTTTCTCATGTTTGGTTGGTGAGTAGAAATATTTTTTCGAAAAAGATTTTTAGTGTTTGATTTATGAATAAAAAATGTTTTTGAAAAATTTCTTTTATTTTTACTAGAGTAAAAAATAATTGTTGAAAATTGAAAATATTTTTTAAAAACAAACTTAATTTTTTTTTTGGGGGTGGGCGCTGGTAGGGGGTGGGTGGGGGTCGAGGGTAGGGGTGAAAAATTAAAATTTTGAAGTTAAAAATATTTTTTAAAAAACAAACTTAAAATTTTGTTTGGGGGGTAGGGGGTGGGGGGTCGAGGATAGGAGTGAAAAATTGAAATTTTAAAGTTAAAAATATTTTTTAAAAACAAACTTAATTTTTTTTTTGGGGGGCTGGGGGAGCTGGTAGGGGTTGGGTGGGTGGGGGTCGAGGGTAGGGGTGAAAAAATGAAATTTTGAAGTCGAAATTTTTTTTTAAAAATAAACTTAATTTTTTTTGGGGGGTGGGGGCTGGTAGGGGGTGGGTGGGGGGTGGGGGGGTCGAGGGTACGGGTGGAAAAAATGAAATTTTGAAGTCGAAAATATTTTTTAAAAACAAACTTAAATTTTTTTTTGGGGTGGGGGGGGGGGGGCTGGTAGGGGGTGGGGGGTCGAGGGTAGGGGTGGAAAAAATGAAATTCAGAAGTCGAAAATATTTTTTAAAAACAAACTTAATTTTTTTTTTGGGGGTGGGGTGCTGGTAGGGCGGGGGGGGGGGGGTCGAGGGTAAGGGTGAAAAGATGAAATTTTGAAGTCGAAAATATTTTTTAAAAACAAACTTAATTTTTTTTTGGGGAGTGGGGGGGGGGGTTGGTAGGGGGTGGGTGGGGGCTGGGTAAGGGGGTCGAGAGTAAGGGTGAAAAAATGAAATAATATTTTTTAAAAATAAACTTAAATTTTTTTCTTTTTGAAGGGAGTGGGGGGCTGATAGGGGGCTGGGGGGGCGAGGGTAGGAGGTGGGGGTGTAAAAAAATAAAAAATTGAAATTAGAAATATCTTTTAAAAATAACTTTTAATATTTTTTTGGGAGGGGTGGTGGTAGGGGGTGGGGTAGGGGTGAGGGTGGGGTAAAAATATTGAATCTAAAAATAAACTTTAAATTTTTTTTTTCTTAGGGGTGGTTGGGCGGGGGGAGGGGGAGGGGGCTGGTTTGAGAGTAGGGATCAAATAAATTGATTTTTTCAACAATTTTTTTTTAATTGAAAGTTGGAAGAGAGTTTTGGAAAATGTTTTCCTTAAGTTTTGAAGGGAAGTCATTTTCCTTAAATTTGAGAAAAATTAGTTGATTTGAAAAATACTTTCCAAAACATTTAACCCAATCAAACATGAGAAAATTGGAAAACCTTCCTACCAAACACACCCTAAAATGGACTTAAATTCATAACAAATTAACTTGAATACGTAATACTTGACAATAAAATTATACAGTCAATTTAAATTTTTTAATTTTAGAAATATTATAAAATACTTTTACATATTATTAATATCTAAATAAAAATAACAAAAGGAGTATTATGACATCTTCAACCTTACACTCTATTTTACTTTTGAAATATAAAGTTTTCTATTTTTTTCAAACAACCAATTCCAATCCAATTTTCTATTTTACTATTTAAAAAAGAATATTTTTTTCTCTTCAATATAATATTATTATTTCTATTTATATTTCATTTTCTTTTCATAATATAAATTCGTTCTTTCTTTTTTCAAACTAATCACCCTATATAATTTTCATGTAATATAATTTTTTTTTTCAAATTCTTTATTTAATATAAAATTATATTTATTTAAAATTTTAAAAAAACAACTACGAATAAGTGAAAAAATAAATCAACAAGCATGACCATAATCACAAGTACAATAATTCTCTGGATCATACACTAATTTTTTTTACGAATATTGTTAAATATGAAAACGACCTGGCGGATTACTAAATTATTGTTGTGATTTTTAAAATTATTATGTTATGTATTATATTGTTATTTTGTATTTAAATTATTATGTTATGTATTGTAGTTTTAAATTAAAATTTTCATCTTATCATTTAAATTTTGTGCATTCTTTACAGTGAAAATTAATAATAATATCAAATTTCAGTTAAAGTGACGAAAATTGATTTTTTTTTTTGAAATATTGTTAATTCGGGATGAAAGTAACATATATTAAATAATATATTTTTTAAAAATGTTGTATTACATTTAAAAAAAATTACAAATATTAGAAATTTAATTAATAGTCTTATATGAAATATAATATGTTAATTACAAAATAATATAAATAATATTAAAATAATGAAAAAATGAAATAGAGAGGCGAATATAATTTTTCAAATTTGGAGAAATACTATTCACCTCTCTATAAATAGAGAATAGAGAGTTTTTTAGAGTGTGATTGGCGACCCAATTCTCTCATTTACTCTCCAAATATAGAGAATAGAGAGTAAAATAGAGTGGGGGTTGGAGATGGTCTTATAAAACACATTAGACTCTAAATTAAGTATATGAAATTTGTTTAGAATGTTTACTTGACTTACTAAAAGTAAGCACTTCTTATATGACTTGTTTTCATCGTCATTATCGTCACGCTCTTGTTCAACACCTTTGAAGCAACCGACCTACTACCATTGAATTTTGTGAGTAGTCCTCTAACACTTCAAATTAACTTCTTCTTTTTTTATTTTTTTTCCAACTTTTTTATTGTCTATAAATCATTTACTCCAACTTCCAATGGGGTTGATTTAAATCTTTAGTATGAATCTAACCATTTATATTCGCAGAAATCTCTATTGCTCGAATTTTTAAAAAATATGTCATACCGGTGTCAAAGCAGTTTTTAATCAATGAATACATGTGGTGATGTGGACCCCCAAAAATATACATTTGAAAGATCCAATATGCATTTGTCAACATTTTTAGAAAGTTCAAACAATGTGGCTAAAAACCATTGAATGATAACACATTTGCCTTTCAATTCTTGAGTTAAATCCTATTAACAAAGTAATCTGCACTTGCTGATATAAAACATGTACTATACAAAATAATACAGGTACTGCTTAGCTAGCCATGTCAAAACGCACAGGTTGAACCTATTTCTGGATGCACTCAAACAGAACAAGGGTCTGCTATGCACAATATAATATGTTGGAATTCAATGTATAGTAGGGTCCAACATGTTTCTGCCAACGTCGCTAAACAAACCTGCTAAACCTTTCAAAACTTGAAAACACTGATTGCCGCACTTTTCATTTTGGATTTCTCAGTAGATTTCGACCTGGATGCGGTGATTCAATCAGTTATGGTAGAATAGAACACGAATAACCTGACATCTGTGTTGTGAATTCCGACAGCTCCATGGTGGTGAGATGTTTGTCCAGAGTGTTCAGATCGATCACATGAGAGATCTTCACTGTAACAAGGGATTAACATTATATTTCTCCAACTCTGCCTGACTTTGCTGGTAATTTGGATCATCTTTACACTTTGGTGAGGGCATGTCAAGCAGTAAATTCACTTTTTGGTATATATCGTCTTGACGATTTGTATGTTGGAATGTTTTCTTTCTCTCAAGAATGCTTCTGGTACCTTTTAGCATCTCGTGAACCTGCATATGACATGCATCAAATTAGTGAAAATTACATATATATATATTCTCCTTTCTTGTGCCATGGTATGTTAATGTTATAGAATAAGGAACCAAGTTGTCTTGGAATTAGCTTAACATTCCAAGCACAGTTGGACAAAGCTCTAGTTACTATGATTCATACTGGTTATGTGCCCCCTAAGATTTTAGATAACGTGCCTGGCTCATTTGAGGCCGATCTGTTGAAGCTTGCTGTATGCATAAAGAGGCCACCATAACCATCCGATTCATCTGTTCTGAGTCATAGGCATCCCCAAGTGATGGATCAACTAACCCACTGTGATTCTTACTAAGCAGCATTGGTTTGGCCTGCAACATGGGGTTATCATAGTAAGTTTTAGTATGATCCATTGCCAGAAGAAGTGGCAATTTTAATATACTACATCTTCCTCCTAACCACTAAAGGACATACAATTGAGATAATTGCATACCCACATCACAACACTATTACGAGATTCATCCAAAGCTGGACGTCCAGAAATGAGTTCTAACAACAAAACGCCAAAGGCGTAGACGTCTGTTTTTTCATCCACAACACCATGCATGAAGAATTCAGGAGGGAGGTATCTGTCATGGAATTTAGAAAGATATATCATTATGGGAGATCATTACAGTACATAAGTTTTTTCCGGTTGAGATTATGATCCACAGACCCAAATGTTCCTTCAAACTGAGATACAGTGAGGTGAGTCCATTGGTCAGGAAGCCATTTTGCAAGTCCAAAATCAGATATCTGCAGAAAACTAAAAGTTGAACATCAAAATGCCGCAAAGTAGATTTTGTTTTAATAGAAGTCCATGGACTGTGGATCTACTGACGGGAAGAGTACAGCTTAATTAGCGAAAAAATAAAACAGAAACAAATAACACTGTATTTTATCAGTAATGCACTAAATTGTTCTTGAGCTATGTCAGTTTGAAGAAAACTTCATGTTTGGGACAAGTAAAAAAAAAAGGTTCCATCAAGAGATTAGGTATTGAACGAGAGGAATTTTTACAAATGACATTCAATTATTACTGAAAGGTGTTCAAATGCCTGACAACAAAGCGACTCTGAAACATAATACAATACCTTTTAACTTCACAAGTACTTGTTCAAAGAGATACCTGAGCTTCAAAATCTTCCGTCAGCAAAATATTAGCTGTCTTGATATCTCTATGGATGATTCTCCTCCGGCAACCCTCATGGAGATATCCAAGGCCAGCAGCAGTGCCAAGAGAGATATTATACCTATAACACCAAGACAACTTACCCTTTTCACCTGAAAAGAGTAATGCATAATAGAGAAAACTATTTAACGGTTAAGAATCTACAGAAGAAATAAATTCAAAAGAAGCTAATGATGAACAGACCATTAAGCAGATTTGCTAAGCTCCCATGTGGAGACAGAGGAAGGACAAGGTGCATCCCTCCTTCAACTCCATATCCAATAACACCAGAAATGTTGGGATGGTTGACATGTACCAGAATTCCGAGCTCAGATAAGTAGTCTGCTGCCATCTCCTCTTGAGTTCCCCTGATCAGCCTTTTAATTGCCACCAGTTGGCCATCTTTAAGATGTCCCTTATATACTTCAGATGAACCTCCCTCACCGATCAGGTTTTCTTTGAGAATGACATAAACAATAATGAGCACCACAATATGCTATTTAATATGGTAATTTGCTAAATAAAAGTACTAACTAAACATTTGGGAGATACAAATAAGCTCATCATGCACAAGCAGTTGAAAGTTGGAAAAATTGAGTTGTTCTGAAGTTCAAAGTGATATTTTCTTTCAAGTTGGCAGCCTTAGATGCAGATATTTGGATAAAAATTAAATCGTCTAAAGACGAAATAGCAGAGATACAAAGAAACTCATACCATGGCTAAAGTTGCCGGTAGCTTTCTGAAGATCAGAAAGTGGGAAATTCTTCCAGTGCGCTTGAAAACAGTGACGTAAATCAGTATCTAGATTAGGAGAAGACGCCATTGGAATGCTCTGTTCTGTACTCTTACTTTTCCATTTCGGTAGCATCTTAATAGAAGGCAGCGAAGGTATGCTAGGATGGAAAGTATGCAAATGCATGACTGAACTTATCTTTAGTCTTTTAATGAATCCTTTCCACTGGGATTGAAATTTTCCATCTGAATCTGAAGTGTTGCTGGACTTTGAAGTTGTAGACTCTGCATCATCTTCGGAAGCATCTCTGATAGACTCCTCAGCTACGTCATCTCGTGATTGAACCTTGTCCAGAGGTTCTTCAGTTGAATCCTTTTCTATTTTTCCTTCACCCACAGTGAGACACCGCAATTCTAGCATAACATGATGACATGTTACATATTACAAAGATAAACATGTACACAAACTAATCAACAGATCAAGATGAGTAGTATGATCTAAAAAAACATCCAAGGTGAAGAAATATAGTTTTACCTTCAGCGGAGATAGAAATGGAAGCACAAAAAAGTAGCTTATTTTGCCCCACCTTCGAGAGCCCCTTTTCCGTGATTCCATTGGAGGGATTCTCACTGTAACACAGTTAGAACTATCAGTTATTTCGACAAGTCATTTACTCAAACACATATATTGTAGTAGGGCAATTGTTGAAACATCAAGCTAATGGTTTCTTTGTCCATTTTCATTCAAATCTCAGGCCAGTACTCAACTCATCCTCTCAGCTTCTATTCTCTTACATCTATATGCTTTAGAATTCGATCTATCTGTAGCCCCCTTAGCACTACTCAAAGATCAATCCGAAGTTGTAAATACAGCAGTCCCATAAAATAAAATACATTTGTTGTTCACGCATATACAACAAAAAAACATTTCTAATGAAAATTAATAAGTTTTTATTCATATTATCCACCATGCGTGTGCATATTTCATTGCATCATAATGACACAAATGTATACATCTTGCATTAGAAACAAAATTAATTACGTTGGCAACCTATCTGTTATGGTACTGTGAAGATATGACACCTGGGCCTAACTCAACCTCAAAAGCTAGCTCATGAGTGGAGGTTTGTCCAAGTTCATATAAGGAAACCAAATTCCCATCCCATCCCTCTATCGATGTGGGACTTCTTAACACTCCCCCGCATGCCCAAACCTCAACTCGAGCGTGAACACTTCTAAATGGGGGACCAACAACGGTGAACAACAAATTGGAATGAACCTGACCCTGATACCATGTAAAGATATGGCACCTGAGCTTAACTCAACCTCAAAAGCTAGTTCATGAGGGGAGGTTTGTCCAAGTCCATATAAGGAGACCAAATTCCCATCTCTCTACCGATGTGGGACTTCTTAACACAATATACAAAAATAACCTACAACATTTCCTCATCAAAAATCATACCAAGGGAAACTAAAATCGATCAGAATAGAAGATACCATGGGGCAGCACATGGTTCACGAGTAGTTTTCATGGGAAAACGACGATGAATTAACCAAACAAAAATTGAACCCCGAGTGGCCTGAGCAGGGGAGAAGGGATGGGAACCTCTTCCAGAGAAACCAAAAATGAATGAGAGAGAAAGTATTGAAGGAGATGAGAGGGAAATAGTGGTTGTCATGCTGTCTACCTGAATCTTGCCTCCTCTCTATGAGCAAAATTCGGAGTTTTCTCCATATTTACGTGCATGATTTCTTTTTGTCCCCTAACCTACGTGCATGAAAATAACAACTACTCTATTAAATTTAGGAAAAAACTCGGATTTTTTTCCTTAACTACATCGTTAGTGCTATCACCTCACAATTTATTACAATATGTTAAATTTCAAACTCAATAATTTCATTGAGACGCCGACGTGGTAGATATTATCAACAAAAACAAAAATTATAGATTTAATCGACAAGAGCCTCAAGGAATGGAACACACGTCACCTTCAATGAGAAATTTGAGCTCCACAAACAACCCACCCTCTCTTTTCTCTTTCCATTACAACCATGAAAGATATTTGTCTAAACACAAATTGCAACCAACTATTTTAGTTTATTAATTTATGAATATTATCAATTAATTATACATGACAAATTATGTATCATGCACTAATAGAATCACTTGAAGTACCATTTCATACGAGGTACAACAAAAAATAATCTTATTGAGTATTATATTTCATCAAGCCTTTGTCTTGTTGATATTAGTATTATATTTCTGGTGAAAGTATTATCCTTTCGAAAACTGAACTTTGTAATATGAAATAAGTTATAAATATTTTGTAGCTATAAATCATTTATTTGAAAGTAAAATGAAATATAAAATCGAGTCAATTTTTTTGGGACTAAAAAAATAAATCATATAAATTGTGATTAAAAAAAGTAGATACTTTTAAAATGAAAAAAATGTCATATTCTTGTACTCTTAGAAAAGAGTTATATTTATCATTCGTCATATTTATCCTTATCATCTAATTTTGAGTACATATTTGCCTTTGGGATGTTAACTCTCATGTCTCCACCCTTATTATCTTGTGCATATATTTGTTCAATTTTGTGTATCTATTTGTGCATATTCAAAATTGAAAAATATAAATATAAAATGATATCAAATTAAATGACATATTTATGTATGATTCTTTTTAGAGAGTTTCATTTACTTATAAAAAATACTTAAAAAATAAATTAGGAATTTATTTTTAAAACTTTTTTTTAAAAAGAGAAAAAAAGCATACACCATTCTCCCCATAAAACAACCCCTTTACCCTCGCCCCCACATCTTCTCTATCCTTTTTCTCTCTCCTCTTTGTATTTAAGCTTCTGTCCTCTAAACAATTTTTTTCAAATTCAAAACCGAGCAACCAAAAGAAGATAACTGTTTTTCCCTTTTCCTTGACAATTGAGAGAGATAAATAACAATACACAAAAAACAATTTCCCTCCTTCCCTTACAACAAGGAACAGGTAAAATCAGAAATTATTCAACCTTCTTTTTTTTCAATCCTGTTAACCCATTTTCAACAACTCTGTTGACTTTGTTTGTTCTCCTTCATGCTTTGAACGATTTGATTTTTATTATTACCAAAAAAAATTATGGCAACAGAGATTTTGCGGCCACAGGATATATTAACTCAACGGTTCAGAGTTTCACCGTCGGCGTGTTATCGTCGGAGAAACAACTTTGGTAACGGAAATGACTATTTTAACCCTAGGTCTTCTTATGGGAACCGGAAACAGGTGGTCAGAACGGAAAGGGAAAGATCTGAGAAGAAGAAGGTGAAAAACCAACCTGAGCCGTTGATGAGGAGGAGATCTGCGAGTTCCGAGGATTTGAGACCGACTCACAACGCCGGTAAGTTTAACGGTGGTGTAGTGATGGGACAGGTGACGATTTTGAGGAGAGGCGAGTCTTTGGATTCTCTGAACTCAATGTATGGAACCAGACCGGGTAAACCCGAAATGGTGCACGAGCAGATCCGTGTCGGGTTATCGTCGGCCGACGTCTACGCCGGTTCAGCTTTTTCAAATTCGCCGTCGCCTAGAGCTCTTCCTTTGCCTTCCTTTTTCAACAAAAAGCAAGAAGATTTCAAGTCTGATGACTTTGCCAGTAGAGATTTGAGGCGCTTGCTCCGGCTGGAACACTAGGAGGATCCGGTTATGACGTTCCCTGAAAATGATCCGACCCGAATCGAGGAAATATCGATAAAAGTTATCGAATTTTCGGGATCTTAATTTCTCCATGATTTTTTTTAGACATGTGGAGAAGATGAAAAGGTCTGAAATTTGAGAAAATTTAGAAAAAGAATTATATATTTTTAATTTTTCTTAAATTTTTTGTAAGATATGAATTTATTTTTATTGATCAATATTGGGAGGGTTTTGTTGTAATATGGGAATGGAATATTGTAATATATATATAGTACTATATGATAAAATATTGGGAATGGGAATAATTATGGGAGAATTAGTAAAGTGGTTGGAGGGGAAGAAGATGAGTATATAAGAATGTTGTGCTGCTCTGTTAATGGTGTTAGAGATGACTGAAGATGATGTTGAAAGAGGAACATTTCAGTTTCTTCTTGTAAAATGTAAGATAATACTTATAAATACTACTAATATTCAGTGATCAACAGCTTACTACTTGTTATGGTTTTATTTAAATTATTCGTCTATCGACGTAAATCTAAACTTCAAATATTTTCAAATTCTCAAAAGTGGCGTAGTCCAATTTTTGAGTTTTCAAAGTAAAATGACATCCTTCATGATTTGGGTAAGCACAATTGGATAGCTCCCTTAGATCCATTAGAAACACTATGTGGAGGTGAGAATGGCATGGGAGCCCCCATAGGCTTCATCACCCTTGGGGATGTGGGACTAGAGGTCAACCCACGTCATAAAGGGTCATAGACATAAATTTCGGCATAAATAGAAGTAATTACTCATTGATTTGGACAATTTTTTTCTCATGAATTAATTTTTGAGATTGAGCTAGTCCCATATGCTATATCTGTTGTCCCATCAAAGTCAAGACCATTTCAATTCATATTCACCACCAATATTCTTTATCCATACATTAGCTTTTGGGCTGGATTGAGTTAGACTCAAGATCCATATTTATATGGTATTAAAGTTAGATTCATCCCACCATTTTTACATGATTTAATGATGTTGGATTCCATTTATGATTTATTGATGTTAGGCTCCATTTAAATGTTTAGTCCTAAGCATAAAGTGAGGTGTTAAGTCACACATTGGTGGAATGAGGAAAATATGGATTTCTTATATGAAATTAAACAATTCTCCTTCATAAGCTAACTTTTGAGGTTGAGTTACATCCGACTTCCATTTCTTTATAGTTAGTTCAACTAGTTCTATGAAGAGAGGGTGAAATAGGAGTGAGGTGGGGGGGGGGGGGGGAGGGGGGGTTGAGAGCGGACGAAAGGTTTAATCTTTGGATCAACCACCCTTCATTCAAATTAGTTGGAGTCGGCTTATCGACTTTCGATATCCATTCTTTTTCCTATTTAGACATATTGTAAGGTTTTGTTATATATATATATAGTTAGCTTGTGCTTTTTAGAAACCAAATTAACATCTATAACGTTAGAACATACTAAAATGGTCTAACATACAGAGATCATTCTTAACCCTGTTGCATGTGCTATTTCTTGTTTCATGTTATTTTGGCTATATAACACACTGTTGGAAGAGGTTTCATGACTTGGTAAAAAGGAGAAAGAGAAATTCCTTCAACTCGATTTCGACATACTTATTCACATTCGATAGTTACCCAAAATAATATCATGAACTTATATACTTCACTGTTATGAAGTGAGGAATGTATATTAATTGATTATGATTAATTATAAAAATCTATTTGCGAACACATATCACACGTTTATTATTGATCTCTCTCTCACACACACGATACTCCTATTATAAAATAAAATACACACAGAAACGATATATAGATGAAAAGATAGATTAACACAGCCATTCACTCTTATTATTAAAAAAATGATTAATTTTTAGGAATCTCATAGTGTAAGCAACAAACTACGTCTTATCCCTATCCTTTTATAATTTACAAAAATCCCTTCAAATCTGTGTCATTTGGATACCTCATTCATCCGGATACATAACTTTTGATACATTAGACAATTTTTCTGTTGAGAACGTCAGTTCCCCAAATCACGCAAATCAAATTGATGTCAATCTCTCCCAAATCATAACAAATTCAAACAATTCAAATTTCGAATTTTCTTCTCAAATCTATCTCAAATCATAGCAAATTCAAAGAGTCAAAAATAGTAGCTGATACATGATGATTATATCTATTTTGTTGAGACATTTAGATATGAAAATAGACTAGAACTCATATGTACCAGGAAAAGATTAACAACAAAAAATCAAAAAAAATAAATCAACAAGTTAATCTATCAATTTTGTGTCATATACATAACTATGAATATGATACAAACTGATATTGTTATAAAACATTAGTGTTTATGTATCAATAATAATATTTGATAATGTCTACAGATACATAGCCTTCTAGTTGAATAACTCTGGGGGTATATGAATATGATACATACTAATTTGTGTTTCAATAAATTAAGGTTATGTATCAAAACTAATATTTAAACACGATACATTGTGCATGATAAAATTATAATGTATCATAATGTTGAAACGAAAACATTATACATTAATTTAAGAAACAAAAACAACTAGATACCTAAAAAATTTGAACCCATATATATCAGAAAAAGATGAACAACAAAAAATTGACCAACTGTCTGATTTGTTGAAAGAAAAAATAAATGATGAAGAAATTCTTTTACACTTTCTCCTTTGCTTTGTATCAACTCCTTTAGTTTTTTTTCACTTTATACAATGACATCACCCATGAATCTCGACCCAAAGCCTTTATTGGAGCCAACAACAACTCGACCTTTTTTTGGGTGTTTTTTCCACAGTCGATTTTGAAGTCGAAGATACATCCTTCTTCGACTAATTGGGTAATCTCAATACCAAAAGATGGAGTATCATCCATATGTATTAGGAAATTGTAGATGAAAATGCTAATTTTTTTTTATAAAAAAAAACGATAACTAATGAACCGAAAAGAAAAAAATGGACGAAGAAGAACTATCTTTTCAATAACTTGCAATTGATGAACTGGAAAGAGAAAAAAATTTGAAATTCAAAAATGAAGTGATGGAGGTAATTAGTGATACCAATGTATCCGAAAAAATGTAAGAAATTGAGGAAAATAATTTTTTTTGTAATTTTTTAAAATAGTAAAGAATAACAAAATATAGGGTAAAAAAGATGTATAGTTAAAAGTCAATCGGAATCCTGTACACGGTTACTGACTTACTGTACACGGTTACTGACTTACTTCCATCTAACCTCACGAATCACGATGTGTTGAAATTATAACCTCCTTAGTTCTATAAAGGAACACGTACTTACTACTTGTTCCTCACTATTTTGAAGTTAGCAGTAAATAATTTTGTATAATAACTCGTTCAAAACTTCGTATTATTTATAACACTTTCAAATAACACAACGATTACACAACTATGTAACCTAAGGAATTATAAACTCTGATTCCTAACTATCCAAGACAAAAAACCTCAGGTTTAAGTCTTCTATCGTTCTTCAAGTTCTTCAAACTTGTTAAACGAAACCTACTCACACCACTTGATTGTAATAAAAAACTCTTGATCACAATCTTATAACTTTTTCTCTCAACTCGCAGCACTCCCTAAGTAATATCAAAACTCTTGATCGTGTTTTGATTTTCTCTCAATGTAAGTGCGCAAGTTTCTCCAAAGAAACTATTGCCCTATTTATAGATTTGGACTTGAATCCAAAACCTATTTCAACTATAACTCCTACTTGTGCTCTGCTTCCTTTTCCTCTTGAAACTTAGAAGCTCATGCGTAGTATTCCTACTTCGTGTAGAACTCCTAACAAATTATAAAGCGCTACTTTATTTCCAAAACCTTCTCCCAGTCAGATTTGGATTAGCTTGGAACATGTTGATACGACCTGTTTTATGCAACTTTGACACTTTGACATTCTTCAAAATATCTAGACCTTTTTCATCTTACAAATTCCCCCTTTTGAACGATGGCAAATTATTCAATCCTTTGTATTAAATCTGTATTGCATTGAACATAATAACATGTACGTGTAACATGTGTATGTGTATGCAAGCCAAGCTTTCCCCCTTTTGACATCAGACAAAAACATGCAAAGCAGTAATAACCCAATAAACCATAACAAGGAAAACCACAAAACTTTAGTCATTAGTTACACAAAAGAAGAAAGAAGCAAAAGTCATCATCCACAATAGTTGGTAAAGCACATTACAACTTAAAATGGGACTCAAAACACATGAAACATCATAGGTTGGCAAAGTTACACAGAGGGCGGCACACAAGAAGATGAGGACAGAAAACCCTTAGCGAACATATCAACAAGATTCTTCAGATGAGCCGAGTTTGAAGTTCGCTCTGTCTCTAGTGCTGCTTGAGTCTTAGCCAATTCTTCCTTGAGTCTAGAGTTTTCTTCGACCAACCCAGCATGCTCAAGCCCATAACTAATATGCAGCTGATCCATAGCAGCTGAGTGAGAGACCTTAAGAGCATCAATTTCCACATTCTTTGTGGTCAACAATGCCTTCAAGCGTTGCATAAGAGCATTATCCCCTCTAGATGTAGCAGGTATAACAACATGATCTATTTCCCCCAACACATCTTTTGTAGTTTGTTCTTGACAATCTTTAACCGGAATGTGAAAATATTCAAACACTTATCCTAACCAAAATCCATACCCAAGCCCATGGTCTTTATCATCATACACACAGATCCTATGAATGTACGCTTCTGTGATCTAAGAAGATTGATCTTATGCACTATATAAAAAAAGAGCTTATGTAAAGGAAACATGACTCATTTCCACCCTAGTGTAAACCTCAAGCAGAAGATCATGCGCAAACCTACGCGATATCTCAAGAGCTGATAAAAGTCTTTTCAAGGGAGGCCATGTTCGCTTGACGACACCATCCTACATTTGGTACACCCAGTATTTTTGACAAAACCTCAGTTGTTAAGGTGAAAGATATCCCTCCTACCTTACTCGTAATAGAGAAAGCAGACCCAACCGTATTGAT